TTAGAGTTAGTGATAGAAAATAAAAAAAAAATTGTTAAAACAAAATCGTTTAAAAATCCTTTATTTTGAATTTTAAAAGCTTTTAGGGAAATTTATTAAAAAAAGACCATCCAGGATAACTAACTAAATGTTATTTTACTAAAAAGTATCCTAAATGATTTAGAGGACGGATTATCTAAATGTTGTAGTAAATGGACTATCCTAAATATTGTAGTAAACAGATTNAAAATATTAGAGATAAGTTTGAATTACTATACACTTTTATTATATTCTTTATAAAAATTAGAGATTGTTTAAAGATTTTGTTTATTTTATCTTTTAAATTATTAAAGTTATGTATCTTACATTCAAAATACATAAAAAAAAGTAGGTAAACTATTTAAAACCTATTCGAATTTTTGATCACTGAATCTACCCCTTCTCATCCATGGGCTATGGACTATAATTAGTGGTAGTTTAAGTTAGTAGAACAAAAGGTAGGTAAATACTGAGAATTCATGCATTTCCTGCCCCTACATTTTATTGGCCAATATATTATTTTTGTTAAAACTTCTGCCTTTGAACCGAAATTATTAGGTTCAATGAAGAAAATGTTTGGTACGACTGCTTATATATGCATATAATTTTTAGTGTGTTTTTTTTTTTTGTGAAAAGTGGAGTCAATAGTTTTTTTTTAATACTTTTCTCAAGCCTTATATTGTCATATATGATGTTATTCATGTTTAAGCTCCTTCAGTGTTACTTCTGCTCTCAATTGCAAGTGCAATTGTTCTTTTATAGGGGCAATTGTTCTTTCGTGAGGTGTCTGTATTTTTTGTATTTGTCAATACATTCACAAATTTGCATTCTTACAGAAATATATATTTCTGGCTCACTATTACTAATAATGCACACAATATTACTTTGGTTGAGGAAATGTTAGTAATCTCACTTTTTATTGATTTGTTTAATTTCAGGAGAACAAAATTTGTTAATGAAATTGAGAAGAGGAGTCTCTAAAAAAGTTATCTCACGAGGTGGAAAAGCTTAAGATTGTTATTGGAAATCTTCTCGAGGTAAGATTGTTATGTGACTATTAATTTACGTTGTGACTGACTGTATTGTACTGGTTAGGTGAATAACTTGTATTCTTGAATGGTTGAAGACTTATTTCCTTGTTGCATTGTACTAGTAGGGTGAATAACTTCTATTATTGTGAAACTGGTTGGAGAAGTATACGATCGTAACGAAAACATGACTTACAATTAAGAGTTTAAACTTGTATATGGTATATAGTTGTTTATTACCATGCACTGAAACTGTTTAGAGTTTACTGGAGTTCTGATTTACTGTTATGTTCAGATTATAAAGATGTTTTCTACTTTTGGTTTTTTAGTGTCCAAAACAATCCAACGAGAATGATTGTTGATATTACGTGTGTGGATATATGAAGAAAATTATCACATATTGTGAAGAAGGGACAATTCCAACGGATGTAAGTTATTTTCATTATTATAATTAATTTGTAGTAAAAATTTAATCAATTAATTTTATATTATTTCTCTTTCTTGCAGTATTTTTCTAATTCAGATTCAACAATATTGCTACAATCAAATTATTGAAGTTAGTGAAGATCGGTGTTTACATGTAATTAACACATACTTATCGATTATGTTATGGTGATGTACATGTTTATAGGTACAGATAGAATATATATGTTATGGTTGTATATATTATCTTAAACAATGTCATGTCATGACACATTGGATGACTCAACGAATATATTTTGGAATATTATTGTACTCATAGTTTTTATTTATACACTAAAAGAATGAACATTCTTTTTGAGATCTCTGTCTTTGTCATATTTTTCTTAATATTTTATATTTTTTTGCATATGATAGAACTAATAGATAGTGCAAATTTGTACATAATAGAATTAATATTTTATATTCTTTTGAAAACATATTTTATATTTTTCGAAATATTTTAGTAAAAAACTATTTTTTTTTTTTAAAAATTTAGACCAATAGATAATGCTTATTTAAAAAAGCGCTATCTATTAGTATATGATAATAGATAGCACTTATTCAAAGAAACACTATCTTTTGGCATACACAAATACATAGCATTTTTGTAAAAAAACGTTATCTATTATTAATAGATAATGTTTAAAAAACGTGAAAAAAAAATGCTATGCACTTTTTTTTTCTATTAGTGTTTATTTTATATATTATAATTATGGCTGTTAATTGGCAGCTAAGAGAAAAATAATGTATGTTCTTTTAATAGTGATAATATAGTCTTTTCTATGCTTTGATTTTTATTTGTTAGATATAATATATCTAACATTATTTTTATAAGAAAATTATTCATTAAAAATTTGAAAAAGAACAAGACACAAATTTTATATTTATATTGAATATCAAGAACGAAAATAAATGTTAATTTTTTTCTTCAAAAATAAAAATGACTAAATATAAAGAATGAAAACGAATATATGATCTAAAAAAAATAGAATAAAACTTATCTGAGGAAGATGACTAATATAGTAAAATATCCAACCCACTTGTAAAACCGAAAAAAAGAAAAACATTTAAGAGTCATATAGAGAGATGACTAACAGTAGGACAGTATAACATTCGTATGCGTCTGTCTGTATGCGTCTGTCTGTTTAAAACTCTACATTTTGGATGTTTATAAAACGTTATATTTTTAACCTATATTATTAGATAATAAATTTATTTGTGTCATTCACAATTAATTTATTACTGGGTATCATACCACATGTAATCTAATAGCTTGTATTCTTAAAAAATCGAGGTATAATGCTGTTTAAATATTCTTTTTTTTCTCATTTTCTAAGATATTTTTTTAAGAAAAAAATTATAGGGAGCTTTATTCAAAGCGAATAATATTTTATGTGATTGATCATAACAAAATTATTTGATGGACTTAATATTGGAATAATAGGATTACGTAATTCAAAAATATGTAAACATAATTATTGATTAAATATTAACTATCTTAATATTTGTTTTGGCTGAATTAGAGTTAGTGATAGAAAATAAAAAAAAAATTGTTAAAACAAAATCGTTTAAAAATCCTTTATTTTGAATTTTAAAAGCTTTTAGGGAAATTTATTAAAAAAAGACCATCCAGGATAACTAACTAAATGTTATTTTACTAAAAAGTATCCTAAATGATTTAGAGGACGGATTATCTAAATGTTGTAGTAAATGGACTATCCTAAATATTGTAGTAAACAGATTATCCTAAACGCTGTAAGTAAACCGTCTAATTGTTTCATAAATAATAAGTTAAAAAATACAAAAACATTCATATAATAACATATTTTTTTTTTCTGGAAAAACACAATAGCATAGGACAAAGTATAAAAAGACTACAATAACTCTGTCAAAATATAATGTTCTAGTGTAATAAATCTTTTTCAAAGTTATCTATAAATTGAAGACGAGAAGGATATTGCACATATTCTTAAGGGATTAAAATTCTCTTTCTTTGATAGTGTGTTGTCTAATTTTTTTTTTTATGATATCTTCTTTAAGAAAGTTTTTCATCTGTATTTATTTAAAAAAAAACATAATTGTTTTTGTATAATAAGGGGGACTTAAAAAGTTGTAAGGAGTTATGTTGTTATAATCCCAAACTAATGTAACTTATTGAAGTTAGTAGAAACCTTTAAGAAAAGAAAATTGGACATATCTCAAGTTGAATCAATTAGTATAAAACAAATTTTTATCTCGACCATAATTTTGTTGTGTTTCTAATCGATTTTAGAAAATCTCCAGTAGACTAACTACCTCATACAAATAACGTCTAACGTTTCCGGAAAATTTTCAAACTCTATTCAAACTTCTCTTTATAGAATTTGTATGTTATTTCAATATTGCGATATTTCTTACATAAATATTAAACATGCTAAATTTAGTTCTTTTAATTCACAAAATATTGTTTTCAATACTTGTAACTATTTTTAATTTTTATATGAAAAATTTAAAATTACAACACCAATTTTCAATTTGAGATATAACTACATTATAAATAAGTAGTTGAATGATAATGAAATGCTGAAACCACTTGATTATTAAAAATTAATTAATTAGATAAATAAAATAAAATATTTTATCTAGATTTGGTATCTTCTAAAAGTTCACTTAAAAGATTTATTTGTTTGTGAAGCAATTTATTGGGTTTCCTTCATTGATTTGGACTGATCATTTTGTGAGCGCCGATTTGAAGGAGAACGGTTTAATCTCATTTATGCATGCTAAAAAAAATAAGAGGAAAAAGAAAGCTAAGAATATATTATTTTCCGGAAATGTGTTTCACTTTTATTTAAATTCCTTTTCCCGATCAATAATAATAATATTAATAATATAAATTATGAAATAAAAACTAATAATAATAATAATTATTATTATTATTAACTAATAATAATTATCCTTATTATTAATTATTACTAATATTACTAATAATAATAATATAATAACTATAATAATAATTATTACATTTTATTTTATATTAATTTTCACTGTAAAATTATAATCTAAAATTCTATATCGATCAAATTATTTACGTACTTTACTTTTAAATATCCTCACTTTAACCATTTCCATCTCCTTAAACAAATAATCTAAGTTTCTTCTCAAATTTCTTAAAATAGTTCTTCTAAATTTTAAAAAATGCTTTCTATTCAGTTTAGTTGTTTTCTGCCCAAACTAAATTATGAACTTAAAAGGTTGAGACGAAAATAAAGAATAGAAAGGACATTATATGCACGTTACTTTCTCAAACTCATTAAGTATATAAAGTAAAAAAAATAAAAATTAAATGACAGTGTTTCAAGTGAGTGAGTGGAGATGATTAAAGGGTAGTGTAAATTATTTCTCATATTATGAACTGTGATATGCAAATTTAACAATTTGGAAAAAAAATTCTTCAACTTTCATTTTATAGCATCCATGCATTGAATAAAAATTATTGTTTTCATTAAATTATAACAGTTCAATGGAATTCGAAGGGATTTTCTTCTACAATCAATACTCTCCAGAACCTCTATATATACAGTGCTCTTCTAAATCCATCCATATAGTTGCATTCATCACACAAAGATGGCCCTTCATTCTTGCATTTTCTTCATCTTTTTTCTCTTGCTCAAATTCTCAACCACTTGCTTTTATGCAAGGTCTCTCACTGAACCAATCAAAGGAGGTTTCAGTGTTGAACTGATTCACAGAGACTCACCAAAATCTCCATTCTACAATCCCACCAAAACCCTTTTTCAGAAACTCAACACCTCTTTCCACCGTACTTTGGACCGTGTTAATCACTTCTACGAAAAACCAAAAGCTACCAAAAACACACCACAGTCTGTCATAATCTCCAACCAGGGAGAGTACCTTGTGAAGTACTCCATCGGAACACCACCGTTTGAACTGATGGGCATTGCTGACACCGGTAGTGATCTCATTTGGTCACAGTGCAAGCCTTGTGAACAGTGTTACAACCAAACCAGTCCATTGTTTGACCCTTCCAAATCCAAAACATACGAACCTGTCTCTTGCTACTCCACGGTGTGTCAGACTCTGGGTCAAACTTATTGCTTATCTGATGCTCAACCCAATTGCCAGTATACCATATCCTACGGTGATGGATCTCATTCTCAAGGAAATCTTGCCTTTGACACACTCACTTTGGGTTCTAATACAGGTAATCAAAATGTACAATTTTAGGTCATTGTCTGATGACAAACCTTTTAGTTTGTCATCAGATAATGTTTTGAGAAGTTAAAGTTTGTAAGAGTTCATTTCTTTGTTATTGTTAATGTTTTCAGATAATTGTTGGTCATTTGTTTTTGATGTTTGTTATCAGATTCCTCAGTTGCATTTCCCAGTATTCCCGTTGGTTGTGGTGTGAACAATGCTGGTACATTTGACAGTGAAGGGTCTGGCATAGTTGGTTTAGGAGGTGGTCATGTCTCGCTTGTCTCCCAGATAGGTCCTTCAATTGATTTCAAATTCTCCTATTGCTTGGTGCCATTGTTTCATCCCAAAAGCTCAAGTAAATTAAATTTTGGAGAAAATGCTGTTGTGGGTGGCCCTGGAACAGTTTCTACACCAATCATACCTGGTTCTGTTGATACATTCTATTACCTTAGATTGGAGGGGATGAGTGTGGGGTCCAAAAGGATTGAGTTTGTGGATGATTCATTGTCAGATGATGAAAAGGGTAACATCATAATCGATTCAGGAACCACTCTCACAATTTTGCCAGAAAAATTTTATGCCAAATTGGAGTCAGAAGTTGCTGCTAACATCAACCTAGAACGAGTGAATATCACAGACCAAATTCTAAGCCTTTGTTACAACTCTGGAGGACATAATGCAGTTGAGGCTCCACCTATTGTTGCACATTTTAGTGGTGCGGATGTTGTGTTGGATTCTTTGAACACTTTTGTTAGTGTGTCTGATGATGTTTTGTGTTTTGCTTTTGCCCCAGTGGCAACTGGTTCCATCTTTGGTAACTTAGCACAGATGAACTACTTAGTTGGTTATGATTTGCTGAGGAAAACTGTCTCCTTTAAGCCCACTGATTGCACCAAGATGTAATGCCCTTAATGTCTCACATGTTCACTCCCACAAACTTCTACGTTGAATAAATGACTTTATATTTAATAAGTTAATCATACCCATGTGTGTTCTGATATTTTGCATTGAGTTTACTATTATAATTTGGTCGTATGCATGAGAAATTATATTTTGCTTATGATATGAAAATGTAGTAGTTAGTGGTCGAATAACATTTCCATATATAATTTTCATTTGAGTTCTGTTTATTTATTATTTATATTATTAACAATATCTTAAGTTTATATTTTTACGCTGTTATTTAAAATGATGATGTAAAGTACTAATATAATACAAAATTAATAATTATGACTTTTGAATCACTCTATAATTATATTTCATTTTTTAACGATCCTAAAAACTAATTTAAAAAACTGATATTTTCCATAACTTTTATATATTCTGTATCGCGAGTAACCATTTATGTATTAAATCATTTTTTGCAATTGTTGAAAATAGAACACATTTGGTATTTTAAACACAAATTCGAATTAAAATGATGCTATTTTATGAAACATTTTGAAAGAGATAAATATCCACTTTACATTTTAAAAAAGTTATAGAAAGTGGAACCTTCTTTATTAAATTTTGGTTCTAATAGGCTATGATTTCTTTTACATTGAAAAAGCATTATAAGACAATCTTAAAAAGAATCCAAATGAACACTAAGTCCACTAAAATAATTATTAACAATTATTTTCTTTAGGGATGTAAGTCTTATAGTATGAAGGTATTGAAGAAGTCAAACTCCATGAAAAAAAAGTTTGAATGATGGAAGCTTGTTATGATAAAAAAAAACCATCTGACACATAAAAATATAAGGTAGAAACAAGAGTAAATTGCAAAAGAAAAAAGAAAAAGAATAGAAGAAGAAAGGATTAAGAGCAAGTCACCTTTGTGAAAGAATACCAAAAGATAAGTAATAAAGAAGATTTATTACTTAAAAAAAAAGTTAAAGAATAAAAAAAAAAGAGAGTACACACCTTCAAAACTCTCAAAGTTCTATTACAAAGTCTCTCTCTCTCTCTCTATATATATATATATTTAATGTTCAAAAATGATTTTTAAAGAAGCTCTAACCCTTATTTATAATCTATGTACACATGGAGAAAGATAGAAGGTTAGAAGTGAACGTCTAATATGAATATCAAATAATTACATTTATGTCTCACTAATGATGAACATTTAAATTTTAATTTTCACAAATAGTTACATAAACATATAACCTCGAAAATCAAGGTATATAAAAGTTGAACTATTCATGTGTGTCGTGTCAAAGTAATAAACCAAATTCTCTGTCCAACTATCACGGTCAAACCAGTTTGCACTCAACATCCAAAATAAGTCAAAACTGTTATTAGAATAGTTTCTTTTTCTAAACATGTACATATATCTCATTTTCCCTTCCTTGTAACCTATTATCTATCTTTCGTTTAATACAATCAAGTTCTTATAAAATGTCAATGATCTCTTCCTACAATGAAAAAGAAACTAAGTTCATTGTGATCTTGAATAATCTAATTAGAAATAGTTACTTTTTGTCTTCCGACTTTTAATTATCTTCTCAATCTCTCTTAAAAAGTAATATTTTTACTTATTTTTTTTTGCCGTACTTTATATATTTATTTCATTTTTATATTTATTTTCTTATTTTCAATAGATTTCTCTCAAATCCCTCTATATAACTTATTTTTTGACATTTCACGTATAAATAAGCAGTGTGACTAATAAAATTTCTTCGTGAAGGTTTTTTACAAAACTAAAACAAGAAAAAAAATGAAATTTGATATTGTTCTTGTTTCTTCCGTTAGTTTAGGTGTTCCAACGTTTGTTATATGTTACTTGGATGACTTTTAGTGGTTATACATTAGTTTATGCCACTTAACTATTAAGAGTTGTAATCAATTTCAAGATTACGTTAGTGTTATGCATAAAAAAGATGTTACATTAGTGTCATTCTAACCATAAGTTGCGTCTTTCAACCTCCACTTATCAAATGCTTGAGGTTTTGTAAGAGATTACTAGCTACTCTCTCATCACCTTAGTTACACCTTTTCTTTTCTTTTTTCTTTTTCTGGTAACTTTTTTAGATATCAAATCATGAAGTTAAAATTAAGATTGCTTTTCATGTATTCACTTACACACAAAAATTGAATGAAAACTTAATATTTACATCAATTTATATTTATCTATTTAACTAAAGAACGAACTAACTATATATATACTCCATTTTTTTATATTTTAAATATGAATACAAAACATATAGAATAAGATTCTCATTCAATCCTTTCTATTATCTTTAGTATTAGAGTATGTTTTCTTTTATTTCCAACAATTTTTTACCATTCTACTTTTCAAAAATCTTCTCAACAATCCTTTGAAACCGAACTCCAATATTTCATCTTTTTTTCCTTTTTTTTCTTATTCTCTCTCATTTTTGTATTTTTCCTTTCTCTCTAAGTGCATATTTCTTTATCGATTTATTTACTCAACCTCTTTCTCTATGATTTCTCTTCATACAATATATCTCCTACTTCTTCTCTCTTTATGGTATACGAGTCCTAGAGCTACAACAGAAAGAGCTTCCATGGTAGCAAAGGTTGAAGGAAACCTGAAAGCAAAAGGAGACAGAGAACGGGTAAGGGAAAACATAATACTTTGATTACAACTTTTGGTAGTGTTCTTGTGTATGGAAAAAGTAAATCCCTAACTTAAATAGGGTTTATGTAAACTGAGAAAATGGGGAAAAGGGATAACAAAAAACCTTAACTGATACTCTAACATATTACTGCTAAGTAGTAATCCTAACTAATCTAACTGTTACGCAAAAGATTGGTTTGGATTTTCTTGCGCACAACATGGCAATCCAGGTCGATATGCTTCATCCTCTCACAGAAACTTTGATTGTGAGCTTGTTGTCATAGTAAAGGATATTAGTGGCAGTTGTCACAGTAAAGGATCATCTCACCAAAACTGTTAGTATTACCATACAAATAAATGCACCTTGTTGCCATGACTACATGGAGCAATTTCACGACCTTTGTCCATTTCATTGAAAAAGCGTGAAACAGATACCAAATACCAAAGACAAAACAGAGAAAAACAATGGACAAGGAACAATGCTTGGTCGAAAAAGGTGACCAACAACGAAAAGAAACTAACTAATGAAAAATGAGGTCGTGATTCAGAGCGAAGAACCGGTAAACCAAAAGGATTCACTCTTTACCTAGATTTTGGAGGCTGAAAGTCAAAAAATTTGTCTCTCAATGACCGTAAAACACATAATAACCACAAAACACTCTAATACACAAGCAAAACAAAAGAATATTGTAAAAAACTTGTATGATTGTATCGTTTTCCTTAGGGAATACATGCTGATACTCGTAACTAAAACAAATTATAGTCTAAAACTGCAAAATTGCAAATGATTTTGTGATCACCAGAATCTCATTGCTACCATAATTGTTGTTACTGGAGCTCTATAAAGTTGAAGATTTAAAAGACTCTTCAACAAGTAACTTCGATTTGAAAACCTCGCATGCTATATATATACGTCTTCATCTTATGTTTTATCCATCATGAAATTCATATAACGCTGAAGTTTTTCCTTCTCGTTTTAACTTCTAACAATAGTCACCCTAATATTAACATGACAGAAAAGATAAGAGAAAGAAATTCTCAAGTGATTAATTACAAGTTAGAAAATGGTTATGGACACCAAAAACTTTCCTATCTCAAGTTAGAGTCAGTTACCACATAGAAAATATATCCATTTTAGAACTTAAAACTCCATTATGGGTTTTTTTTTTTAAATTAGAAAATTAAAATGAAAATTATATATTTAAATTGTCTTCTACCTTATCTAAATAAATTATTCAATCTATTAGAACAATTTTCAACCTATTTTTTTTCAAATTTCAAAATGATTAGAATCATGTAAATCCTACTACTACTACTTTGAGAAAGATAATCACTAATTCACATATCTAGAGGCTGGTGATTTTTAACAAGAGATTATAAAAAGAGATAGGATTATTATTAGCAATTTCCTCACACAGTGAACCTCTAGAACTCACGGCCACCCTTATGAACCGGTGGTATAATACATTGACATGCTATTGCACTATTTATTTGATAACAACTATTTCTTGATTACCCACAACAACAGAAGTGATACTTAGCGAGTAAACAAGAAAAACACTAGACATGTCAAAGAAACAATAGATCAGCCGAGAAGGAACTTTTTCAGCCAAAAAGCAGAGAACTTGGGGTATCTTTTCAAATTGTTCTTGTAATCCACATATATGATGCCAAATCTAACTGTGTAACCAGCATCCCATTCAAAGCTGTCAGAAAATGACCATGCATAGTAACCCTTCACATTAACACCTTCCCTGCATGCACCACATACCAAAAACAATAATCATCACAATTAAAGAATTCATTTTGAACCAAATATGTGTAAATAAGAAACATATTTCAGTTCCTCACTTGATGGCTTGAAGAAGGAATTGGAGATGGCCATTATGGTATCTAATTCTTATTGCATCTTTGCGTGCTTCATCCACTGGTATGGAGTCATTCCTTGATTCAGCAATGCCTAAAACAAATTAACAACCATATTAACTAGTTTCTAGCTAATATTATGCTTCACATCACTTATTGCATCGGTCATGAACAAAGAAACAGTTAAAACATAAATTTTAAGCTTATTGCATCACTTGTTGTAAAGTAAGATTTGTATCTACTTATTTATAAAGTGAGATTTACATCTATTTATATATTATGAATTGTCTTATCTCTATTTGATATGAAACTTCTATCAGAAACTAGATAAACTCCTGACAAGCTGCATTCTCCAATTTAAGGAACTAATCACTTGATAAATTGTGTGATAGCATGATTGTAATGCTCCTGAGTCTAACAACTGACCAAAAGGAAATCTAATGGTTTAGAGTTACCATTTTCTGTGATGTAAACATCTGGATTTTTGTATTGGTCCTTTATGTGTAACATAAGATGATGAATTCCCTTGGGATAGATAAAGAGCCAATTCAGATCAGTCTGCAAAACAACAAACGTTTGCTTCTTTAGAAGTTGAAATGCACTTTCACAGCTTGCATGGTTTACTTGTGTTTGTAAAAACTCGCCCAAAACATACAAGCTTAATGGAAATACTACTTGTATGAGATGAAGCTAAGTACATGCATCAGCCAACTAAAATTAAGCATGATTAGTTGAAATAGTTTGACAGAAAATTTACTGTACCTTAGGTCCAACTAATAGGCCATTCCTTTCCGCTGTGATCAAGAGAAAATTGTTGATTCTGTTTGTCAGTTAACTGCTAAAAGTTAGTAAAATAAAATCATTTTCTGTAGGCAAGTTTACTTACTGGTGAGAGTAGCTAGTATATCTGTGTAGAAGGTCCTGTTGGTGGTGACTGGTGCAGCATGTTCTGCATAATATGTGGTGTAATAATTCACACCAAGAAAATCAATGGAATTTTTTAGGCCTTCTGATTCGACTTTTGTGAAAGCAGGGAGTCTAGCTCCCACTGAAGATCTCATACTTTCAGGATAGTCACCATATGTAACCGGATGAGCATACCTGCAAAGAATGGATATGTTACAGTCTTTTTATCAACTAATTCCATATCAGCTTTGTTAGATCTATCGAGAAGGAGATAAACATAAACACCAGTTAGATCTAAACCTAACCACATAAAAAATTCATTTTTTAAAACAATAAATTAAAGAGTCTTTTACCTTTATATAATATTTTATCTTATTTTTATTAAGGTACTCTCAACGTGCCTTTGTCCCATAATTGAGTCCAGGCTATCAAATAAGTACAAATCTCATAAAGTTTATCATCTTGTTGGAAAACACAAACATCCCTATCTGGCTCAGTTTTTGAGTTGTGTTTTATTATGAGAAATACGTACCAACCAAAGAAAAAATCCAGAGCTCTGCTTGCAGCCTTGTTATCAGCAGCAGTGTTAGATTTTGGCAGAAAGAAGTGAGTTGGTATGGTGATCCCAATTTTTCCTTTTTGACGAGCCTACACAACAAATAAACATGAGATTTTTAGACTTACAGTGTTTATCTTTCATTCCTGTCTCCAATCTTTAAATTTGTTTTAATTATTAATTATAACATATGATTTAGTTGATTTTGAAATAAATAACAGTTATGTATGAAAAAGTAACAGTTATATATTAATTTTCCAACATCTTTATAAATTCTAATTATTATTAATTTATTTTCTCATGGAACAACAAAAAGTTACGCACCCAATAAATATGAAAAATAAAAATATAGATAAATTTTTCCTTTAAAAATAGTCAACACACTCCTACCCCTTTATCATTAGTGGCTCTTAAAATTGTACTGTTTTGTAATAAATCTTTCAATGTATATTTAAAGAATTATACTAATAAAATTAAATGAACGAAAAGAGAAACAATAATGATGTATACCTAAACTAAACCAGAGTAGATAGACATCATCAATACTCTCCAATAATTTAGAAATAAGTTTTAGTTTCTGACAATGTCTTATAGTTTCTCTAAAATTGAAAATTAATTCTTAATATTTACGACATTGCTTAACAATTCACGTATTAAAAAAAATATCAATATACAAATTCAAGTGACAAACCAAGACTCACTCAAGATTAAGTATCATGTGAGACTATTTTTAAGTAACAAAGGATTAGATAACTAAGAATACAGCCAAAACATAAATGGTTATTTTTTTTTAGTTGTATAAATGCTAAATATCTGGTTATCATTTTCAGGAAAATGTTTTGGAAGCTAACCTGGTATTTTGTCTTGTACAAGGTGGCAGCAGACTCATGAGCAAGTAAGAGGTTGTGTCCAACGATGTAGGGTTCAGTGGCTGAGTCACCAGCATTGCAATTCCCAACGTATTTAGAACATCTACCTGGTGCAAAGGTTCCACCACCATAACCATTCAGACTATATGATAAGGGTTCATTAAGAGTCACCCAATGTTTCACTCGATCTCCGAAGGTCTTGAAGCAAAAGTCAGCATATTTACGAAAATCCTCCCTAATTATCCATCACAAACAAAGTTAATTGGAAATTCAAGGTTAATTACATAATCATGATCAGTAGAGTAACAAAAAATTAGGTCATCTTATATATTTTGAAAACTTAACAGATAAACTACATCAAACTACACCAAATATTCAGTTGAGAATGTGAAATCGTATTGAAGATTGTGACTCACACTACTTTATGACTTCTAAATCCTCCATACTCATCTTCAAGAGCTTGTGGAAAATCCCAATGAAAAAGAGTGACAAAAGGAAATAAACCTATAAAAAAAAAACCAAAAATGAGTTAATTGTGAAAGTTAAAAAAAATAAAAAATAAAAACGTGTTAAGAGAGGTTTACCATTTGCGTGGATCTCATTGATGAGGTTGTTGTAGAATTTAACACCCAAGGGGTTAACAACGTCCCTGCCCTCTGCAGGAAAGCAATTCAATGCTTTTCATCACTTTTCAATTTCAATAAGTTTTTTTCTAATAAATAAAATTAATTTATACAGGTTTTCTAGTATTGATTTTTTCTAGAAATTATCGTTAACTTGAATTTTAACATAAACTAATTAATTGTTTACTTTGTAAATATATATAAGGTTTATTCAAACAGATTTTGTGGTATTATTTTTCTAGTACATATATGCAGAACTTATACTGAAGAATAGAGTGGAGTTAGGATTTATGTTTTACTTGGAAATATTCTTGTCCAAGAGATGGAGAATCTGTAAGAATCCAACCCAATCTCTTTCACGAGTTTTATGTCTTCCTGCAACATTTCACGGTTAGATAATTACTTCAATAAATCAACATTCATTAATGAAAATGACAGGTTGGCGTCTAAAATAAACGCATATAATATAATAATATTTCGTAATCACTTAAATCAAAACAATAAAAAAAATATATAATTAAAATATTAATATATGGTTTGTCAAGTTTTTTCTTTATATATCAAAATCTTGCCATCCACAAATAAATGTTGATTTTTTCAAAAGAGACTTCATGAAAAAAGTGACTCTTTAATCATTATATAAAGACAAAAATATCACTTTCAGTCCTAAAATGTAAAATGGTGAAATTATAGATTTTTTTTTCTTACATATTATTTATTTTGGTGAAATTTGAACTGATATTTAGGTTAAAAAAATTACTTTAGCAATATGATGACTGAAAAGGGTGAATTTAGAGGGAAAATGTACCTTGTAGCGATGATAAAAATCAGCTCCCACATCACCACTGCTGTGATCCCAAATTTTGTCTGTTCACACCAATAAAAGAAAATCAACAACACAAAAAGTATAATAATTATGCCATGTTTAATCATCATGATTTTACATAAATTTTTACTTTTGTTCTTTTATTCTTTATAAGATAATTTCTTTTGTCTTTCGTATAACAACATTTTAATATCATTTATGTATTATTTTATGATTGGTTAAACTTACTTTATTAATAATAATAATCATAAAAGTCAAAATGGACCAATAATCGAATGTGTTAAAATATAGTAAAAAATAACTCGTTAGGAAAAATTATTAGTCATACAGAGTAATAGTAATATTTAATGTACATTTACTTTTTAAGTTAATGTAAACAAATTTTTATATCTATATTTTTTTACTTATAATGAAAAAGTACAATTTCTTGGATAAAAGTAAATTTGAGTATGAACTTTATAAGAAAGAATTCACACTTTCAAGTATGATTATTTTAATAACTTTTTAAAAATGTGTCTGTAATTCTAAACAAATTGGTTTAGAGAAAAACCTGGGTGCTGTTGGGTGTAGGTATCCCATATACATGGTCCTCTGCCATCTACATTTGCTGCACCTTCTGCCTGAAATTAACAAAGACAACCTAAAATGAACATATTGTATTGTAATATTTAATAAACAAGTTCAAACAAAGACAAATTTAGATTATTTTTTTAATGAGATTTTTCAATGTTGTATCTTTATTGTGTTCACTAATTGTAATATTTATATAAAAGATATTACTAAATTAAAATTATTATAAGATCTTTTAAGAAGTTAGGATCTTTTGATAAGAGAATCCGGTAGAGAGACATTAATACAGGAGTCTCTTTCACTCTGATGCAATCTTTTTTTAATAGAAGCATTTATAATCATGAATATTTTTCTTGAGTTTTTCTTTTATTATTATTTATCTTAATTTTCGATAAAAAAAATCATATTATATTTATATGAATCAATAGATTTATTTTATATAATAATCAATTTTTTTCATTTTCAGTCCACAAACAAATAAATAAAGTCATTTTCAATAATTATTATCGTTGAAAGTCTATATCAATAAAATCAATTTCATCTTACAAATTAATTATATAGGGTTAAGTTAATTTTAAAATTCATTTCTTAATCATTATATTTTTAAAATTATATTAAATATAAATATACAGCAGTGAGAAAAGAATATGAGATGTTCAAATATAAAAATAGTATGCATGAATTTAACTAAGAAGGGAAAGGGCGGATATGCAAAAAAGAAAGAAAAGAAAAAGTGATTGTTGTGTGAATATCTGAACCTGATAAGCAGAAGAACCGATTCCAAAGACAAAAGTAGAAGGAAAAAGGGTTTTGTTGAAGGATGAAAGATCGTGTCTTGGGACAACAGTTGGAGCTACAGCTGCAGCGCCATTAACACCCAAAAGGGTAGCAAGAGAAAGAAGGCAAAGGAGAGAAAGAGTGTTACTTCTCATTTCTGCTATGCTCTCTCAAACTTTGCCATTCCTTTCTATTTAAAGAAGAAGAATGGGTTCGATATTGTCGTTTTCAAAGGAATGTGACAGATTTGCAGAAATTTGTTTCATTATGTATGGAAAATTACAGGTACGATTCTGGGTTAATAATTTTAAGTAAGTTAACCAAGTAATTACATAAGAGTCAATAGTATGTACTTAAAAGACAAAACATTTTTCTTTATTTTATTTTTTTCTATTCACACAGTATTATTATACATAATAAATACCTTCAAAATCGTACTAGCTATAAGTGAAATTGCTATTTTAAAATTTTCGAGTTATTATTCTCATCTTTGTTTATAAATTCAATTTTAATATTTTTAATATTTTCTTAATATTTTAAAATAAGCTTATTTATTTTTAATTCTTTAGGTAATACTTACGAGAAGCTAACTATAAGGTATAATTTATTTGGCTTATCTACGTTGCTATGTGCAGAAAAAAAAATTTAATATAGTTATAAATGTCTTTTCGGCAATGGTCCCCCTTATCCGCTCTCATTCTACTTGCTTGGTCCTCTCTTTTTAATATTATATTTTTACTTGTAATGGAATTTTTTTATTGAATTATATTTTATTTCATTTTTTTTAATTTAATTTCATACTAGCTTTTATTTTTCTACAGTTCTGCATGATCAGCTCTTTAATAATGTAAAAGTCGTCCACTGGTGAAATATCCAATAATAAAGGTTTAATGGAGCCAACCTACTTTGTTGTATGCAATTATTGTTCAATTATAAGTTTTCTATTAATGTTATAACTAATTTTGCGCATCTTACTTTTTTATATAAAAATAAGTTCTATTAATTCTTAAAGTGATATAAGTATATTTGTCTATTAAAGTATTTTTTATTTCTATTTAATAATTTGAGATTTGAGATTAAAGTAACAACTTGTGTGATATGAGTTTTATGTGTAGTTATTTCATTACTTTTATTTATATATATATATATATATATATATATATATATATATATTTTTGAGTAATGAATTAAGATTGAACAGTTAAGAGTTAGATTTAAGTCTAACTCATCCTATAAAATCAGCTTGTAAAGTGAGATCTATATCTATTTATATATTCTAATATGGTCTTATTTCTTTATTACATTCAAACAAGATTTAAACAAACATAATTTTATGATCCAAAATATATGATTTTGGTATATGTGGTATTTTTCTTCAAAAGCTAAGTAATTCAAACGAGTAATTAATCAATCAGATAATATTGAATAAAAAATCATAGTTATATCATTTACTTCTTAAATTATAATATCAAATACGAAAGGAATTGGTTAAGGGCTATTTAGAAAATTTTACCGTTTTACAGTATAATTCCTTAAACAATAAATTATATTAAAATGGGTAAATTATACATAAACTATCAAATTGGATAATTTGTTTCCGGGGAAACACAACTTTGTTTTAAGAAAAAAAATATATTATAAAGATATGGATTTAACTTTTTTCCTTTTAACAATATAAACATTATGTTTGACATACATGTTTTATGTTTTCTTTTAATAAAATTATGTTTAATAAACATAACATTTTCTAATTCTTATAATTTTTATTGAAGTTAGGTTTGCATAACTCTTATTGTTTCTTTTTCGAATAAAGTCGAACTTGATAGATATAACTTTTAATTTATTTTCCTTCTTTTCTTTTTTATGTTGAAATTATATTTGGTTAGTACGACTTTCATTTATGTTCTCGTGTATTATACTCGGTAAGTAGTACAATTAGTATAAAATTAAATAAATAAAACATAATCGGAATATAATATAAATTATATGAAACATAATCACATATTAAACATAAATTTTATAATGTAAAAAATAAAAAGTTAAAAGTATGTTTCTTAAACATCAATGCTTAGAGATTTTAAATACAATTTAAAATTCTAATGGTTTATAATTTTTATTTTATTTTTATAATAAAATTTTATATAATAAAAAAAATTTATAATATAGTATGACATCAAAATTTATAATATTTAACATGAACATAAAAATCTTAAATACAATTTACTTGATTCTATCATTATTTTATAATTTATTTATTTTAATTTTTTTAGGACGGTAAATTTTCTTCCTCGTATTTAATAAATTTACCTTGTATTTAATGTGGACCCTCCACTTTGTTTTTTCACACTTTCCAAATTGATTGTAAAAAATGGGCTCTACTTGTTGGCTAATGCTGTATAAGGGAGGGTACACGCTACTTCATATAGTGCGGCGATTAAAGTCATGATTTGACCGATAACGAATATACTTTTTTCAAAAAACATTTATAATTATTATTAGAAGTATGAATCAGTTCATTGAGTCCGAGACATGGAAAATTTTAATTTTGATGTTATAAATTAGGATAACGAAAATATTTCTTTTAAAATATTTTAGTGTTATTACGTGATTGTTTCAAAATTATTTCATAATCAATAATAATAATTATAAATATTAATATAAATCAATCACATAATGACACATAAATGGTGTTAAAATGTTATCAAAAGTATCATTATCCTTATAAGTTATTATGTATTTTAAGTATCATTATCCTTATAAGTTAATATGTATTTTTATCACAAATTTAATGCATTTTGATATATTTTGTTATCTATTCTAACAATTTTTCTTTTTTATGAGTTGTTTACTAATTCTTTTGTTTCAAGTGTTTTTCTAGAGTGTATAACTTTTGCTTGAAGTTTTAAAGGTTAATCATGTGCTTTATTTTTAATCATCTTGTTGTAATTTCAGTTTAAGGATATTAATAAAATCTTTAAACAATTGTTATTTAGACTGTGTTGATTCAAATAAGAGTGAAAATATGAATTTAAAGAAATTTCATAATAGAATGTCTCTTCTTTTTTTTAAGAATTTAGACATAATTCAAAATGGATTTGAAAATAAAATTTATAAAAATTTATACGACATTAATGTGATAAATTAAAAAAATATTTTAATAAATAAAAAATAAAATTATTAAATTATATTTAATAGTAATAATAATATAAAATAGTAATCATGAATAACATATATTTTTTGTGAAAACTATTTGAAATAATAAAATTAAAAAACATTAATATAATATATATATTTTGGGATATTAATTTTTTTTAGATAATATTGTTTTAAATATAATTTAGTGATACGTAGTACTATTTTTTGTTTTTATATTAAAATTAAATACTTTTTTTATTACTTTATGTCTAGTCAAAATATGTTTTTCATTAAAACTCAATTACTAAAATAGTTAATGGCTAATATATATTGATTTAAATTACTGAATTATAATAAAGAAAAGAAATACTTATCCTCACATAATATGTTTTTATACATTTCAAAATTTACATGTAAAAAAAATGTTAAAATATTCCACTTCTAGTAAATAGTTAATTATAATCTATAATAAAATTAAATAAAATATTGATTTTAACTATATTTTTAATTTTAATTGCTATATCTTTTCAAATTGAAAAAATACATCTTAAAACATCTTATTATTATTATTATTATTATTATTATTATTATTATTATTATTATTATTATTATTATTATTATTATTATTATTATTATTATTATTATTATTATTAGAAAGTAAAAGTAAAAGAAAGTAAAAAATATTATTGATCAAAACAAAAAAAAAGTTCCTAAATTTTCACTCATGAACATATTCTAGTTGATTGTTTATTCTATCCCTTTTACTTTTACTTTTTTCCTATACAATTCCAACTTTATGAGACATTGCCGATAAGAAAAGTAATGAGGTTGAGATATATGTTATTGTCGTTCTTCTCAACATGCATCCTAATAGAGCCCTTCATCATGGTGTTTTTTTTCATGAAGATGATAGGGTCACTACAGATACCCTTGCGAATATTATGGAGCTGGTAGGATCCCACGTTGTTGGTGTTCATCAAAAGGATCTAATTGCATTCTTTTAAAAGGTAGCACAACACACCATCGGTTCATTTCAATATCATTAATGATAATGATTATGATAACGACGACAATGTCTATGATCGGAAGTTCGGCACGACAAAAATGAGGGTCAAGATAAGGCTTTGGCTAAACGAAAAAGCCATGACGTTAAGCGATACCTATGCTGATGTATCAAGTGAGCTTATTTATTCAAGTTTTCTCAAAGGAAACAGAGTCTTTGGTGGTTTAGAGGCACGAATTCACTTTTGGAGATCATGGAGGCTCCTTGGAGCTTGTGGGAACATCCTCTTCTTTCTTTTTGTGTCTCCTCCTTTCATCTTCCATTTTGTAAGATTAAGGCTCTCCATGGAAATGGAGAGTCAAACTCATCTTGTTAGGGGTTTTCGTAGCCATTGAACTTTCGTGTACTTTGTAAATGCTTTGATAATATATATGCATCTTCCATTAAATGCTAATTTTTTGTTTCTACTTTTAATGCTTGCTTCAAATGGAGATATGGATAGCTTGATTGTGGATTCGTTATATTTTGGGAAGAATCTAGTGAACCCTAAACTTGAAACAAGAAATCTAATGGAGCTTGCATCTAGGAATAAAAATTGAGCTATTAGTTGTCTTAAACCCTAGATCTTAGTGTGGGTTAAGATTTTAGTGATTTAGTGGGAAAACCTAGACTCTTTCACCTAAGGGATTAAGGTTTGAGTGATTTAGTGGGTTTACTTTAGTGTTTGGTGGAGAGGAGACAATTTTGTGTGTGCACTGAAATTACAAGGAAAACACTAGAGGGGGTAGGGGGAGGGGGAGGGGGGGAGAGGGTGAATGGTGTTTTCAAAATATTTTTGCAAATCAACGTATAATAGTTTGCAAAGATAATATGCAAGAGTTTTAAGATGATTAAGTGTTAGGTTTTAATAATATAAGTAAATTGAAAACATTTTAGATAGAGAAACAACAAATCACATATTCTTATATTGGTTCACTCAACCTGAGCTAAGTTTAGTTCTCCCTTAAGAACACTTAAGGGGTTCTACTAATCTTTTCCAAGATTACATGAGTTT